AACGGGCTGGACTCAGGCGAGTTACTTGAACTCACCTGAGAACTCGCCTTGGCCAATGGGCATGTTTCTGACCAAGTAGAGCGCCAGTACCTTGCTGGGATCCTTGCTGTATGACAAGTCTAATGGCTGCTTGTGGAACCAGTTTTTGATAAAGGGTTCTCTCACCAGGCTTTGAAGTGTACATTTGTTTTCTCAATTTAAGACCCTAGCTCAAGATATGATTTATTGCTGCTCCCTTAGATGAATGCGGTCACATCCATGAATTTAGACCATACTCTTGCTTACAACTGGTAGAGCAGGACTTTGAGTTGAAGCCTTGAATTTTTGTGTTTGTCATAGATGAACATGGTGCAAGCACAGTCATTAAAGTTTCTGACTTACATGATCATCCAGCTGATGGTAAAGTGAAAAGTTATTCAGCTGAATCCAATCATCATGATTATAGACAAGATGTCTGTCAATTAAATTTTCATTTTCTTAGCCTGAACATGGATGCTTTCATGTGCTGGCAGCCTACATTATATAGGGAACTTGAAAGAAAATTTCCTATAATGGTTGGATTTCATTTTTCCTATGATGGATCCCTTGTTATTTCAGCGACCTCTTTCGAAATAGGAAAGTAGTGGCTTAGTCTCTTGCATCATTTTTAAAACAAGAACATTCAATGGCAAGTATCAACTGGTTTTTGTATTTGGGAACCAATTTCAAATGTTAATCCCTAAATTAATGTTATAATTACGATGCAGTGGTTCTGATCCACTTGATTTGCTTTTTGTATCTTGATTTCTCATTTCTTCCGACAAATCACGTTCTGATTGGATTAATGGGAAAGTAAGAGTCTGGGCATTTAGAATATCCAAGAAATGATGTATGATGAAATATCTCCCAAAGCGTAAGCATGAGAAGTTTGACATCCTGTATTTTCCATTTTGATTATCATGTTAGGGACCAGTGACGTAACATGCGAATGAGTGATTTAATTTCTTTAGTGTTGAGTCTGATATTGGTTATTTTGTCATTCCTATTTTTGTGATTATTCTTTTGCAGGTGTAAGAAATACCCCTCAATGGAATTGAGAGGGCTTTTCCAGTATCTTGTGAATCAGTTGAAAAAGGGAAATGGTATTGAGCTTATCCTTTTACAGGTATCTCCCATTTTCTTATGGTTGCATATCCTCTATGCAACTCGTGCATGCATTTTTTATTATAATGACATTTGTAATGAAAGAAAGCAATCTGATGCCTTACTGATTGTGATCCAGGAGCTTGTACAACAAATGGCAAATGTACAATATACTGAAAACATGTCAGAGGAACAACTGGATGCAATGGCAGGAGGAGAGACCCTCAGATATCAGGCTACTTCTTTTGGGATCACTAAAAATAATAAGGTGAGCTTTATCATCCAATGTTTTGCAATGTTCTTTGACCTTTTTTCTGTATGGTTACCTGTTGTATCTTATTGTCTTTAATGTAGCTATTTGTCACTTGTAAGGAAATGGTAAGCATCCATTGTTGCAAAATTATTAGACATATGTTGCATTGCTGTGTCTGCTCTCTTAATGTTGTTTTTTTTGGGTGAGTTTGTGGGGAGAGGGCCACTGCCCTTGGTAGGAAGTGAGCCTAGGACATACAAATCAAGAGCTAATCAATTAAGCTCGGGCTCTTTTCCTAAATGGTAAAGTCAGTGGGAAATTGGCCCCCTACTCTTTGGTGAGAATGGAGTCAATGACCTCACCATGGGACTCGGCAATACTACCACGAAGGCCCGAGGCCATTCTCTAAGAATGGTAAAGTCAGTGGGGAATTGGGCCCCTACCCTTTGGTGAGAATGGAGTCAAAGACCTCACCATGGGGCTCGGCGATACTACCAGCAAGGCCCCAGGCCATTCTCCTCTGCACTCCGAATGTTAGAATTACAGATAAGCATAAGCATTCTATGTCTAAAACGTGCTCTCTTTTATGTGATAGGCAATAAGCATCCATTGTTGCAAACTATTAAAAATGTCATATTGCATGGCTGTGTCTGCAGTCTTAATTTTGGGACCACAGATAAGCATAAGCATTCTGTGTCTAGAATCATGTTCTCTTCTATGTGATCTGAAAAAAAGAAGTTAAATCTTCTTAATCAGTAATACTTATATTTTTCACCCTTTTCTAGGCGTTGGTTAAATCCACAAACAGGCTTCGAGATTCGCTGCTGGCAAAAGAAGAACCGAAGTTGGCTATTCCACTTTTATTGCTCATAGCCCAACATCGTGCCTTGTGAGCTGCTGAATGTCTTGAACTGTTATGTTTTGATCAGGACAAATCTCATGCACCTCTCTATAATAGAAGAGATGACTGTTTTCTTTTTTTTAGGGTTGTCATAAATGCAGATGCACCATATATCAAGATGGTCAGTGAGCAGTTTGACAGATGCCATGGCACATTGCTTCAATACGTGGAATTTCTTTCCAATGCAGTTACACCAAGTACAGCATATGCTCACCTGATTCCCTCACTAGATGACCTCATTCATAAGTATTGTCTTGATCCAGAGGTAAGGCATTTACATTCGAAAGTGATACCATAATCCAACATGGTACTGTCCCTGTACTTAGTGTACTCCAAAAGGAAGCCCACTGTCCATTTCAGTTTTCACTAGTGGAAAATTCACAGTTCCAGGGTGAATATTCTGATGCCATGCTTAGTCTTCCTTCTTCATGAGTTGGAATGGACTGTGGGCACTCGTTGGTTTACTTTCCCTTTACATTGTGTTCCACCTCAACAATCCACTGCTAATGGATAATTTTGTTAGGCTTGTACTGTTGCTACTGGTATCCATTTGTATCTAATGCTCTCTGCTTGACAAAATCTTTGGGTTTGGCCATATTTGCATAATGCTTTAATTCCATCTCTCCATTTGCTTGACCAATTATATAAAAGTGATATTATGCTGAATTTCTTAAAAGTTTGCTTTCTGTTTTTTTTTTTTTTCAGGTGGCATTCTTAATTTACCGCCCTGTTATGAGGCTTTTCAAGTGTTTGAGGAGTTCTGATACATTCTGGCCTTCTGAATTCACCAGAGAGGCTACTCAGTTGAATGCAGATAAAGAATCTGATCACTCATTCTCATCTAGTGAAATGGTTCTTGATCTTGGTTCACCTCGAAAACCTATCACGTACTACTCTCCTTCAATTCCTTTTCATGATATCTGCACAGTTATTCATACTTGCATGTTTTAAATGTTTCAATTTCAATGTTATGATCATCAACTAAACCAGGGTGATACTAGAAACACACCTCATTGGTTCATTCTTAAGCGTCTTTGGCTGAATAGCTTGCTTCAGCGAAGGTGAAAACTGCTGTTATTTAGTTCTGTAGGAAAATTTTTATATTTAACTTTGATTCTAGTCATGCTGGTCAGAAAAGAGAACTTAGTTTAAATTTGGGACCTTTCCCACATCAAGGTAAAATTTCCACTTAGAATTAGCTTGTCTTCATTTCTTCAAAACATTTGCCAGTTCCATTTGGTTTCCCGTATATTTTTCCAGAGCTAAGTTCTTTTGGAAATATTTGCGCTTGTTGATGTTATTATTTTAGCTTTTTAATTGAAAATAACTTGAAAGAAAATATTTATGATATGAAAATTGATACGAGTGATCATATTTATTTTTAATTTCAGACTAGTTATATGAAAATTTATTGCTAACTTTTAGAATGTGTTCCTTTTAGAGACATTCAATTTTCCTAACTGTCTTTTTATATGTTCTAAAATTTCAGAAAATTATGTAGTATTTTCTCAAAATAACAAAGTAATTCTGATCTCCTGAGAGTCGTGGATTCTGGTCATAGTAAAGATATCAATGTTGATCGTGTGTAGTAATCATTCTCTGAGACTGGCTACTGTACAAATTTTCCTGCATCACCGAGGTTTTGAAAATTCATGCAGGTGGTCTGATCTTCTTGGCACGGTACGGTCGATGTTGCCTTCAAAAGCTTGGAATAGCCTTTCTCCAGAGCTTTATGCGACATTCTGGGGGCTAACCCTTTATGATCTCTATGTTCCAAAGAACCGTTATGAATCTGAGATTGCCAAGCAGCATGCTGCTCTGAAAAACTCCGAAGAACAATCTGATAATTCAAACTCAGCAATTGCTAAAAGAAAGAAAGACAAGGAAAGAATCCAAGAGATCTTAGATCGTCTGACTAATGAACTCCATAAGCATGAAGAAAATGTTGCATCTGTACGTAAACGTCTTGCTCGTGAAAAAGATATATGGTTGACCTCTTGTCCTGATACTCTAAAGATAAACATGGAGTTCCTCCAGAGGTGTATCTTTCCACGATGTGTGTTCAGCATGCCGGATGCTGTTTACTGTGCCATGTTTGTCCACACACTGCATTCTCTCGGAACGCCATTTTTTAACACTGTGAATCATATCGATGTGCTTGTATGTAAAACATTGCAGCCTATGATCTGCTGCTGTACTGAGTATGAAGCAGGTAGACTTGGAAGGTTCTTGTACGAGACACTGAAGATGGCTTACTACTGGAAAGTATGTGCCTTTCATTTCCTACATTGTGGTTATCTCAAATTCTAAGTTCCCTTTACATTCTTTAAAGGGAAGTGCACCATCAGCTAGTGGACTTTGGAGAAGTGTAACCATGCTCATCAACATCCATTGAAGCATGAGATCCTGTTGTTCTCCTTCACTGCTGAGTGTGAGCCATTGCAATGAATGATGATGACTAGTGCGCTATGGTTTTCCCATAGTCCATTTGAATATAATATGCATTCCATTTTCCAATTAGTGTTTTCTGCAGTATAAACTAGTGAGTTATACGTTCTGAGATTGTTAAATGCTTCTTTTACAGAGTGACGAAGCAATTTACGAACGGGAATGTGGCAACATGCCAGGCTTTGCTGTGTATTACAGAGATCCAAATAGTCAGCGTGTCACGTTTAGCCAGTTCATTAGAGTGAGTATCTTGAGTCTCAAGGTGCCAGAGAGAATCTTTGTTCCTCTTTTGTTGCCTAATATGCTTCTTGTACTTAAACTCATACTATATATTTGAAGTTCTTTTTTTCTCTTGTAGATGATTTGTACCAATTAGTTCCTTTGAGAAATTGGTATTATCCCAATACATCCATACATTAGTTTTTGTATGTGTCATCCTTCACTGATCCTATTTTTCATGTAATTGAGCTTTCCAGTTTCTTAATATGTAACATTCTTTGCAATTGTAGTGATGTGGCCTTTTGTTCTGGTTTCGGCGAACTGGGCACAATAAAAAAGTTCAGAAGTATTGAAAAATGAAAAATGTCTCTTGGCCAAATGGGGTGCTTTGTGCTGTGTTTGGTTTGGGACTTGTTGAGATTGTGGTAACTATAATCACATAGCTTCATGTGTTTACATGTAATAGACAACCAATGGTTAAGTATTGCTTTACAAATAATGGATAGCATGCATCTATGATTGGAGGATCTAGATGAACTTTATCGACATGATTGTGGTGCAGGTTACTAACTAGTCAAAGGTATGTGTCCTTTTGGCTGAGGAAATCCTCTAGTGCTCTTCTTGATATACGCCACAGAATTGCTTGGGGCAATGACTAACCCCCAGATTTATCCTCCCTTATCACTACACACAAAACATGGAAGGACTCTCAGGAAATGCTCCAAATGTATCGTGCATTTGATTTGTTTAGGAGAAGCTAATTCATTGTTCATCAGCATTGCATTAAAGACTGTAAATATTGGGCAGCTGGAAGCATGGAACTCTTATGGGAATAAGTTGTGAAACATCTAGAACAGTATCTTGTGTGTACCAGTTGAGCATGAAACACGTGAATCAAACAAGTCTCTATGTAGTCAGGTTTGGCAAAAGCATCCTACCTATTTGGCAGCAGCAATCAATCCAAGAGAGAAGCTTCTGGTATAAGATCCATGTGCCTATGAACTAGTTAAACCTGTTTCAAGATTCCTCCTAACTATTTTTGCTTTCATCCACGAATGGAGGATAATTTGAGCCTCATCTAATATAATGTTGATTAGTATTTTTTGATTGATGGATCTCTCTGAGTGACCAAATGCTGATGTTGTTTGAATTGATCATTGTGATGATATAACATCAGAGACCCCATTCCGCTATAGTGGTCTTAAAACAGACAAGCGCAATGAGAATGGACTGAACAACTAAATGGACAATCCAATTATTAATTTGGAGTGGTTACTAATGCATTGGTTTCTTAACATAGGGTTTTGTTATGCTACACCACTTGGTGGTGTATACCCTTAACGTCCTCAACATTTTTTTGACATGTAGATACCATTGAAATGTAATACAAAATTTTTCAACTAGGGTCATTTGTGGTCATTTAGAAGGGTAGAATGTATATTTTTATAAGAAAATAGTGACATTCTATTTGTAGTTAAAAAACAATTAATGCTTCTTGTGGGTGATATCACACACAATGTCGGTGATGTCATTGTCCACTATTGTTAATAAATGCTTTTGTTTCTATTAGGAATATCTACTTTACCCTTGACTAATTATTTAAAATACCTCTAGACAAAAAGTTACTACACTATAAGATAAGGGTATCTTAGTGTCCAAAAATGTTGAGGACTTTAAGGGTATACACCACCAAGTGGTGTAGCCTAACAAAACCCCTTAACATAATGGGGGTACAATCTCTAGTTTCACTGATGTTATTGCATTATCAACAATGTCATCAACATCAACATCATTATAGCATTTTCCCAACTAATTGGGGTCTACAGAAATCCCAGTCTGCCGTTCTGTTCTATCAAGGGCCATACCCTCAGTGAGGCCATAAGTCCTCATATATTTTCTCACTATTTCCAACCATGTCCTTTTGGGCCTACCCCTTGCCCTTATTTATCTTACCACTTGAAGTAACTCACACCTCTTAATAGGTATTGTGCTGGGTCTGCATTGCATATGATCAACCCACCTAAGTCTACTTTCTCTCATCTTTTTGCCTATTGGTGCCACACCTAAATTATCCCGAATGTATAAATTTTGAATTTCATCCATTCATGTTTTGCCACTCATCTATCTCAACATCCTCGTTTCTGTTACACTCATTTTATGGAATGTTATTTTTTGACCACCTAACATTCCACCCCATAAAGCAAAGCTGGTCTCACAACTGTCCTATAGAACTTGCCCTTTAGCTTCATTGGTATACGGCAATCACATAAAACTCTGGCTGCACATCTCCACTTTGTCCACCCATCTTTAATTCTATGCGTGACATCTTCCTCTATCTCTCCATTTTCTTGGATTATTGATCCAAGATATTGAAAGTGCGCTCTTTTGTGGTATTTCTTGACCGTAAATCTTAATTACTTCCTCATCTTTACTCCTATTATTACTAAACTTGCACTCCATATATTCTTAGTCCGACTATTTTAAAATCTTTAGATTCTAGAGCATCCCTCTAAAGTTCTAACTTTGTGTTGATGTCGTTTTGGGTCCCATCGATCAAAACTATGTCGTTCGCGAGCAGCATGCACAACAATACCTCATCTTGAAGGTGCGTAGTTAAGTTTTCCATAACTAAGACAAAAGAGGTATGGGCTCAATGTTGAACCCTGATGTAGACTTATTGTCACTGAAAACTCATTCATCTCTCCACTAGTTGTTTGCATTCTAGTTAGCTCTTCCTTGTACATATCTCTCACCAAGTCCATTTAGTGTCTGAAGACTCCTTTCTTTTCCAACACCCACCAAATCAAATATTGAGGTACTCTATCATAAGCTTTCTCTAGATCAATAAAGATCAAGGTTTTAAAATTTGGCGATCTGAATTGGAATCGCCTGATCGGGGTAGGGAATCGTCTTGAAGGATCCGGATCTCGGAATTTATCAAAATCCGGCCATTTCCCCTAAAACCAGTCAATTCGAGCCAGTCCGTACCGGTTCTATGTCAGAGAATTGGAGAGAGAGCCGGTCTGTACCGGTTCTATGGAACTCTTTTCCAGTAAAAAATGTGTGGGCGCCTCAGCTTTACTTTTTGCTCAAAAAGTGTCGGTGGACTCCACCTACTCCACTTGCATGCACTAGGTTTACCTCGTGTGAGTGTTATGATTGCCACTGGGGGGTTCCAACTTTTAAATGATCATTTTGTCCCACAATTCTTTGATGTGAAATAATTGTTTTTGAACCTTCTCTCTCTCTCTCTCTCTCTCTCTCTCTCTCTCTCTCTCTCTCTCTCTCTACTCTCTCTCTCTCTCTCTCTCTACTCTACTACTACTTACTCTACGTACTACGTTACTACTAT